AGCCATGTCCGTCTGTCTGTCCGTCCGTCCGTCCGTATGTATGAGTCAAAGGATCTCAGAACCTATAAGAGCTAGAGTCTTGAAATTTTAGATGTAGATGTTCCTAGTTCCCGCGCAGATCAAGTTTGTTTCTGATAATCGATAACTTACTCCGTTTCGAAGCAATCGATAAAAATCGATATCGATATCCTATTTTTTGGGCAATTTTGGTAAATAATAAGAGCTAGAGTCACCAAACTTTACATATAGCTTATAAAATAGAATATTTATATGCATTTGATAAGGGAAGAAGAGGGTTCAGGGTATCCCCTAGTCGGGAGCTCCCGATTAGAGCCTCTTACTTGTTTCAACTTGTGCTTTGATCTTTTTTTTTACTTTCTGCCGCTTGTTGGTGCTCATTACGATATTAATCAAATATAAGTAACTCTCTTTTTACATTTGGCTGCGCTATTATAGTAGAGAACTAATAATGGACCATAAATTGTCTACTTTAAAAACTTGCCAAATGCAAAGTGTTGGTCTAGTGGAGGATGCTATTGTCAAACGAAATGATTCGCACTATAGTTGCGACTCGTGATAGGAGATTGATGGTGAAATGCGGGCATTTATGCGTCAGACCAGGGAGAGAATTGAAAGAATTATAGCATCTCAACTGCAACATTTATGTAGCTCTATTATTTCTATTATTTACAACCACTAACCTTCTCGAATTTACTTCGCTTGTAATTTATGGGTTAATGAAAAGAATGCAGACTCACGTCTTTTATACTGATTTTAGTAAGGTCTTCGAATCTGTCAACCACTACTTGCTGCTTCATAAATTATGCCTTCTCGGCTGCCCAGTCAATTTCTTGAACTGAATTTCATATTTGATTAATAAAACCCAAAAGGTTCCTTTCAAAAATTTGTTTTCTAAACGTATTCTTGTGACTTCCGGCGTTGCTCAAGGAAGTCATCTGGGCCCGCTACTCCTTACTCTTTTCATCAATGTCCTTCACTTGATACTGTCTCGCTCTCGAGTATTAATGAATGCTGACGATGTAAAATTATGCTTTGCATATAAAGATATGGTATCATGTTATCTCTTACAAGCTGACATTGATGCGTTTCAGACATGGTGTCTAGCCAAACTCTTAAACTTAAACTGCACCAAGTGTAAGGAACGACCTTCTAAAGAAGCCCTCCTCAATTGGTTTCTTACATCCTTGATAACTAACCGGTCGAGCGTGTTAACAGTTCATCTAATGAAGTTAATGATCTAGGGGCCATCCTTCTAACTCTAATGTTAAGACCGTGGTTTGACGATCCGTACACGACAAAAACACATTATATATCTTTGGTACGACCTATTCTTGAGTATGCCTCATGTATGTGGTCACCACAATACGCTATCCATCACTCCACCTATCCCTTCAGACACAATTCTTGTGGTTATTCCTTCGTGGTTTTAATTGGGATCCTGTGCGGCTACCGTCATACTCCAGCAGGCTTCTGCTGATTAACCTTCCTTCTTTGATTAATCGTACAACCGTGCTGGGTGTAATATTGATTCATAAATTAATTACTGGTGAAATCGACTTTTCTGTGTAAACTAGCCAATTAAATTTTTCTATCCCTGCTAGACTCGCAAACATTTTTGCACCCTTATCGCTTCAATTTTGCTCAACTAATGATGCTTTGCATGAACCGTTCAGGGTTCTTTGTGATGACTATAACAAGCATTATAGAGTAATGCATTTAGCCAGTAGATAGTCTGAACGCATTGAAAATGGTTAAAAAGGTTATAAAAAGGATTTTGCGCAAATGTATGCAACAGGCATAAGGAAGCATATCCGACCCCATAAAGTATATATATTCTTGATCAGTATCAACAGCCGAGTTGATCTACCAATGTCCGTCTCTCCGGCCGTCCGTCTTTCCATATGTTTGAACGCAAGGATCTTAGAACCTATAAGAGCTAGAGACTTGAAATGTTAGCTGTAGGTCCTCCTAGTCCATGCGCATAACAATAATCAGTAGCTTACTCCGTTGTCAAGCAAACCATAAAAATATCGATATGGAAATGCTGTTTTTTGAGCAAGTTGGGTATATAATAAGAGCTAGAGCCTTTTACCCATTTTCAATGGATTCAGGGTATAAAAAATTTCAATTTCGTGGAATCGCCTGCCAAGTCTTGAGCTCATAGGACCCAACGCCAGCTGTCCACATCTGATTCTTCTGGAATTTTACCTATGCGAAGCTGGAACATTCGAGCATCGGATCGAATCCAGTAGAGCGCATCCTTTTAATATGTCGAATGTGCGCCTATGTATTCGCACCGACTTTTCCTTTAGGATACATTTGGCCAGTCCCAGACTTAACTGAGACTCAGACTACTCCAGTTTTCGAGGCGGCCAAGCTGCAATGTACTGAAGCATTAATACTGGCGTCCACGAATGCATGCATCCGTACAGTCTGGGTTCGGTTCACCCACTTTATACGCCTTGGAATGCGGACGGCATTCAACTTTGAAACTAGATCTAGCCAGTGTCGCTCAATCGGCTTCGGGTTCGTCTTCGTTCGTGAGCTAGTCATCCCATTCGATGTTGGATCTTGGTCCGATCTTAGCGGGTAAATTAAAGAAGCCCAGCAGCCCAAGCGGATCAAAAATAGAAAGGACCACGCTTAGAACGTGTATTTTACTTGGGCGTTCCTTAGATGCTTTCGCAAGTCCGGCTCCACCACCAACGTCAACAGATCTTGTCCTGGTAGCCACTCTCTCTCTTGCGGCTTATCCTAAGCGCTGATACGCTCGTCCAAATCTTTATAGTTGTCTTCCAGCGCCTGTATAGTTTGCTACGAGTTTGATGACCTATGGCGCATCTCGAAAAAGCCACTAGTATAAATCCTCTTTACAGTCCCAGCTAACTATATCTAAGACTTGCCGTCTACAAATGTGTTTTCGCAAACCGCTTTTACGGCATCCGGATCCTCGTCCACAAACCGCTTAGCCACAGAAACTTCTTCGATTCTTGGTTTTAAAAGTCCCCTCTAAACCGTGTGAGCACACCCATCAAAGACGCTAGTGTGTCAGTAAACAAGTCGACCTGCCCCTAACTGTGGCGGCCGCATCCCATAGCAGGCCCGAATTTTCTTGTTCGGATTAGTGACTTCAGCCGGTGAATATATTCCTTCTGCTTGTAGTCACACATCGTGTTTATCGTAAACTCTTTCAGTGGGTCTTTTGAAATATTTTCCTCTAATCATTTGAGGCGTTTAATAGCCATCTGAAAAGAGTGTGGCAGATGCCTGCGATCAACTCTCCTTGTAGCCTCCATTATCCTCTTTGGATCTCAGCTGTGAGGAGTCGCTCACACCTAGTGACTCTAGTGGCAAATAGTTTTTCAGAGCCTCATTTACACGTACAACTTTTTTCTCATATTCTCCAGACTTAATGATCTGCCCACGCAGTTAATTTGGTTTCCTCTCCGCTGCGCGAAGCGCTCCTGCGGCTGCGGCGTCAAGTTTATGTGGGCGCTGCACTTGTTGCCGCAGTCTGCGTGGTCTTCGTTGTTTGTTTTATAATTATTTTACGAAACATTACAGATGTGTCAGCTAATTGTTTGACATATGTGCCTTCAGTTCACTTTTTCTTTGTTTTATGCATAGCCCAGTTGTACTTTTTGTAGGGTTTTTTTTGCACAGTTGGGTGTAAATTAGTATTTCACCTTGCATAACCAGGAGTTTGCCAGGAATTCTGCCTGTTGATCCGCGTTAGCGAATAATGAAAGAAAGGACCGGTTGTGAACGAGACGTTTATTACACCAGGCACACGTACTCTAGTCGATATCAAAATCGAATCTAAAGCTAAACACAATTGATTCTTAGAACTAGAGCCGCAGAGCCGATTTCTGTGTCTGCAAAAGCGCTTAGCTTGCATCTCGTGTGACCAACAAGGTTGCTGACCATATTATGCATATTATGCCAAGTGATCAAAGTGGAGTTCGTCGATCTCGCCACCTCATACAGCGAAATTTTTGTTAATATACATTGCAATTCATAAGGATCATTTAAACAGCGCCTATTGTGTGGTGGTTTAATCCGGCCCGTATTGACATATGTACTGCCTGCAACAAAAAGACGGGCCTCTATAAATATTTTTTTCGATTTAAATTAATTCGGATCTTACCGACTAGGTCAACCAACTCGGATTAGTATGAGTTTGTTTCAAAAAATCAATCAATATCGAAATCCCGTTTATACAGATTAGGTGGATGTTATTTCCTGCTATCACAAAATGAAATAAATAAATCGTTTGAAATTACCCACCGATCTAAGCGACAATATTAATGCTGTCGTAATTTTAGGAATATATTAATGCTACAGTACTATACTATTGAAAGAAGTCAGGAAAATTCAAAAACACAGAAGTTATAAAAGAAAGTATGTGTTTATATATTTATTTGTATGTCTTTTCGGCAGCTAGCGCAAATTGCAAGAATTTCTATATACATAAACACAAATGCACACATGCATACACACAAATATAATTGCAAATGCGGTGTATCGTATGTTGTGCTCCGTGTTTGTGTTCATAATTTAGTTCACTTTTTTTTTTCATTGAAGCCTAATTGTTCGTATAGTTGAAAATAATGATGATGAAATGAAATTTCAAATATTTGATTACATGCAAATGCAATCGAGCGCGTAGCGCAAAATGCATGTCGTGTTGGTTAAAAATGGTTTATGGTCTTCCCTTGTCGATCCCTTCCGACTAGAGCCCTTAAGATAACTTGGTCTTACTCGGGATTCATTAGATCCACTATGATCCTAATATATATGCAAAATCTTCTCAACATCGGACCACTATATGATATCAGTAGAAATAATTGGAGAAAGCATAAAGTAAAGATATATGACAAATCTGTGAGTGAAAATATGTTTTATCTTCGGCACCCCGAAAATAACTTTTTATCTTCTTATGTTATGTGTATTTATGTTCTCAAATAATTTAATTGCAGATAAAATTCCAGCTCGGTTGGTTTTATATTTTCTTTCCTGGTCTGGTTTTCTGGTATCATTCATGATGCGAAATGATATGAATTTTGCTTTGGTTGCTATGATATCAAATGGCAATGAAACACTGACTGAAAATCAAAGTGTATCTAATACATTATATATGGTAATACATAGCTTCATAAATTGTTACACATTTGAACTTTATCTTACGTTTTAGGGCAGTGGCTCTGAAGACCATTCATCAATAGTGAAATCTGTGATAATAAGTTCATTCTATTGGTGTTACGTGCTATCTCAAGTAGTTGGTGGAGTTTCTACTCAAGCATTTGGAACCAAGTGTGTATTCGGTTGGTCACAAATGGCAACTGCATTATGCAGCCTTCTTATGCCATTAGCTGCAGAATTTCATTATGCTGTCGTAATTTTTTTACGATCAATTCAGGGATTTGCTTCTGGCTTAACTTGGCCTGCAATGTACGCTATGGTGGGCTATTGGATACCCACGACGGAACGTTCACGGTTTATGTCAAGCTTTCAAGGATTTAGTATTGGAATTGGCTTAACGTATCCACTGTGTGGGTTCATTATTACAAATTTTGGTTGGCAACTGGTTTTTTATACAACTGGAGCATTAGGAATTGGATGGTGCGTTTTATGGTACAATTTAGCTTATAACACACCACAGGAACATCCCAGAATAACCAAAGAGGAACTAAATTACATTGAGCTTAATATTGGTGAAGATGTACGAAATGCATACACAGTGAAAGTGCCTTGGGGGCAAATATTTAGATCCTTGCCAGTTTGGGCAATTGCAATTACAACCTTCGGCAGAATATTTATACATTATGTTTTTATAGTTAATGGGCCGACTTTTATGAACCATATTCTTAAGTTTGAGTTTGGAACAAATGGAATTCTGTCGGGAATGCCTTTTCTTTGCTCTTATATTTCGTCGGTATTTTTTTGTTATATTGCAGATAAACTGTTATTTCATAAAATTTTGGGTCTTACAACAGTGCGAAAAGTATTTACTGCCTTATCGCAAGTTGTTCCAGGATTACTTATTTTATGTATAGGTTATATAGATAACATACCGCTTCTCTTGACTACCTGGTTCATAGCAGTTATTTTTATTACGGCATCCTACGCGGGAGCAATGGCCAATATTATTGACATTGCGCCAAACTATGGACACTCAGGAGCAGTATTAGCCTTCTGCCAAACGATTCATATGTCGGCGTCTTTCCTATCACCATTGACCGTTGGATTCTTAGTAACTCAAGAGGTAAAGTATAATCTTGTATATATACTTGTATAATAGTAAGCAGAGTCTTCATTAAGACTCTTGATTACACATCTCAGTTCATTCAGTTTTATCTTATAAACTACTTAAAAAGATAACATTCCAGTTGTGTGAATGTGTTTTTTAGAATTTGCTCTTATGTACATTTCAAACTCAACCTAGTTTTTATACCCTGAACCCATTAAAAATGGCTATAAGGGTATATTGTATTTGTGCAAAATCCAAATGTATGCAACAGTCAGAAGGAAGCATCTCCGACCCCTTACAGTATATATATTCTTGATCAGCATCAATAGCCGAGTCGATCTAGCCATGTCCGTCTGTCTGTCCGTCCGTCCGTCCGTCCGTATGCATGAGCCAAAGGATCTCAGAACCTATAAGAGCTAGAGACTTGATGATGTAGATGCTCCTAGTTCCCGCGCAGATCGAGTTTGTTTCCGATAATCGATAACTTACTCTGTTTCCAAGCAATCGATAAAAATCGATATCGACATCCTGTTTTTTTTTTTAGCAAATTGGGTAAATAATAAGAGCTAGAGCCACCAAACATGATATGTTGCTTTTAGAATATTATAGATATTTAAAGTATCTTTAATTTCATACCTATCGCCACCTCCCCGCAACCACCCCAGAGCTATAAATCAAGTTAATAACCCAACTTTTATTGCCAACCAATTTAAACCACAATTTAAATGCAATTGATTTTTTCAGAATACACAAATATTCTATGGTACAATAAGATATACTGTAGAAAATTTCATAAAGATCGGTTAAGAAAAACCAAAGTTATATGCAACTGCGCAATTGAATGGGGCAGCAGCTTTAAGAATTTCTGTATACATGTACACACACACATTCATGCGCGTCTGCTTCGCATTCTAATAGCATGGTAATTGCATCTTTTTTTTGTAATGTTATTTTAGTTCCTTTTTTATCATAAGTACTTAATTGTTGGTGTGGCTGCTGAGTAGAGGCATAGCAAGTGGTGCGGTCTGTCGCGAGTTCGAGCCCTACCGGGGAAAGTATTATTATTTTTTTTTTGCTGGTGTGGCTGTTGAGTAGAGTCGACAGTAAGTAATGCGGTCAGTTGCAAATTCGAGCCCTGCCAAGGGAACTTTTTTTTTTATTAATTTATTTGGTGTTGGAATAAGAGGGTTCAGGGTATCATTCTGTGCCTGGGGGTCCCTTGGTGAGCAATAGTTTCTGGACCTCTCTTTTGAAGGATACCAATACTCGAGCTTACGAAGCCCTGGGAATACAAAATCTTAGCTCAGATGTTTCTGCCTATCCCAAGTAATGGCTGGACATTCACAGAGAATGTGCAAAGTTGTTTCGCCTTCCACCAAGTAGAACCTACTATATGTGTCAGGGGATGGGTGTATTTAGTGGAGATAATACTTAACTCATACAGTAATCTTAAGTAGGCATGCTGCATGCTGCATGGCTTCACTCACAACATACGTTGAATTGAGTGGACTTGAATCGAATTTAATTGAGTGAGTGCGAGGCTCACAATGAAACGAATGAGTACCAATGTGAGTGCGTTTGTCTCATACCAGACGGCATTCAGTGAAATGAGTGAAAATAAATAAAGCGTAAAGCGGAATGAAATATTTGGCACAGCCGAAGAAACTCGAATTACTCGAGTGCGTGCCTTCAATTCGTTCGATACAACAGACGCAAGCAGTCAAAAGAAATGGACGAAGAAAAAACGGTGACAAGACCGTATGTATTGTGCATGCGCATTTAGTAGTTGTTATTTTTTTTTCCTTTCTTCTTTTTAATTTTCGTCTATTTCTTTATGCGTGACAAGACATCAACAATTAAAAAAGCGGTTGGTCATTCGAATGCATTCGAAACGAAACCTCGTATTCTAACTTATTCCCACTCATTCAATTCGTTTTCCTTCGTTTCAATGTTGTGCGTCCGAGTTGTACGTGACCGCACTCACTCACTCAAACATATTCGGTTTCGCATTTAATTTCACTCAACTCATTTTTGGCATTGATCATTTGAACGTGGTTTTTTTGCTATTCATGCAGCTCTCTGGTAGCACTAACCAAACAACATATAGACTGGACAATCAGTGGACGGCGATGGGGTCTCTCGTTTTCTGTGCGGCTGGTCCAAAGTTGCCTTTGTTTTTGTTCGGGTTCATAAAACGGCATCGCTGCTTTTTTTTATTCCCTCGCACTGCAGGTAACTGCTTTGGCTTACTCTCAGTGCTCTTTCAATTTGTGTATTTACCGTTGCTGTGTGTGTATACACTAACCATACAATGTATAAACATACCAAATGGCCCTTTTTATCGAAACAAAAAAAATCGAAACGAGGCAACTTCGACCATTTTAGTGTGCCCAGGCAGAGTAAGACTGCTGAGAATGGCAGCCGAATGCCGGCCTCGAAAGCCGAACGTTCAGTATGAAGCCACATCTCGCTCAGCGCACAACGTCGCTGCGGCTGATGCGTTTTCCTAATATCCGTTTTTTTAAATCCTCACAGCCCAAAAACATATGTATGTATGCATGTGCCTCGCTGTCACTCATTGCTTCGCGCACTTGCGTTCATCTCTTTCTCCCTCTACAAACATTCATATGTTTGTGTCGTGTGGATGTGCGCACAAGTAGATTGCGACGTGTTCGCGAGCCAGAGGTTATTTCTTCAATTGTGTGCCTTTTGTGCCTGTGGTAGCAATAGCCCCTCACATTTAAATGCTCTATCAAGTATTTCTTCGTCCAGTCAGGCATGATGAGAAGAATTTGATCTAATTTTATTTAATACACAATTTAGGTCAATTAATTGATTAATTAATTGAAATGAAATATTTATATTTATTTTCTGTTTACTGTAGGGACCTATTTTGCTTAAAATACAAATATATCTAAGTTGTATTTCTGCAAGGGTAATTCATCGTCGGCTTGTAAGAATTTTCAGAAAAGACCAAAAATTGACGCACACTCTTTTAAGTAAGCAGGTGTGTGATATTATTAGAGGATTTGGCCTGTTCATGTGCAAAATTGCTACTTTCCATGCTTGTTTTAGGGGTAAGGGTACCTGATCGCTGCATGTGTACATGATAACTTTTTGGCATTAATGCGTTTGTGTACATTATGGTTGCCTGGCTGCCTGGCCGATGCAATTTTGACAAAATTTGAAGTTTTTGACATTTGTGAATTTCGAGCTCTACACACACACATATATACATAAATGTGTGCGAATGCGCTGCTCAAGGGTTTGTCGTGGGGCAGAGATATTTTTATCAGTAGGTGCGTAAATTTGGGCGACTGGCATGGTCTTTTTTGTTTGGCATGCCTGCGGTCGGGGTCGAAGATCTACAGATACAGGAGCTGGTGGTATTAAGTGGATTACTATACCAAACTTAGCTTTGCCATGAGTGCATATAAAATAGGCACACAGGTACACGCGCTCATAAATCGTTCTATTCATATACAGAATATGCAGGTATGCGTGTATATCGAGTCCAAAATATTTTAAATGCACACATGGCAACGCTTAGGTACTCTTTCCAACGATCATGAGCTAAAATGCAAAAATTTCGCAACAACGTGGCAAACCCTTTCATTATTTTATAGTACTCGTCCCATCAAAAGGGAAGAAAGCCACCGAGAAAAATTGAATTTGTGGGAATTTTTGCTTGTGCGGACAAATACACACATACAGTACAACGGTAAATACTCAAATTGAAAGAGCACCGAGAGTAAGCGAAATCAGTTTCCTGAAGTGCGAGGGAATAAAATAAGCAGCGATGCCGTTCTATCGCACAAGTCATATGCATTTCTTACTCTCTTGCTGTCAGAGCGCGCGAGCGTGTCTCGAACCCGAAAAAAACGAAGGCGACTTTGGACCAGCCGCACAAAAACGGATAGGCCCCATCGCCGTCCACTGGTTGTCCAGTCTATATGTTGTTTGGTTAGTGGTATAATGCATAATCTTGTCTTGTGCTTTCCAACATATTTAAATCAAACCCAGCATTTGAGAGCTTCACTATGCTAAAATAAATAAAATAGGGCAATGTCAACAAAGGTATTAAGTCTTCGGTGTGCCGATCATATCCATCTCGTTGGGTATAAAGTTTGAATTAATTCCACAAGTGAACACTCTTTGTAGTAGTAGTAATTTGGATGTCCAAGAAATGTATATCTGTTTGGGGATAGGTATCCCATTCCAATAATTTTAACACAATCATAAAATTGATAATTTATATATAAAGACGTTTGATATTGCGCGTTCTTACTCGCACTAAATAGTGTTCATGCAAATTTTCCCACGTTGAAATACCCATAAGAACAAGCATTTATAATGAAAATTTTGTAAATCGATGACTGAATCCTTTGCTAAGTGCCTACTCGAAAGACTTGATCTCAGTGCTTTCATTGACATCGTATCGCCGAAATAAAGTTCTTTATGTACTTACAGCAAGGCCAGCAAGAATTCTTCTAATTTCGAAATTGGTTTCTACAGAAATCAACAAAAATAACTCCCTAAAATTATAATTATTTAATTGATGTCACTTAGCATTATATAAATTAAAATAATTCAGATTTTTCTCATGATGCCTGACTGTGTGTTGCCGCAGGCACTAAAGACAGCGTTCACCCATCCACCCATCCAAATCTCTCAGCAATCGGGCATAGCAAAATGATCTGAAAACATTATTTATTGGATCCTTAGATTCATCGCAAAGTAATAATAATTATTGTAATAATACAACTCTTGCGAATATAAAGAAATAACCGTAAAAATATATAAGAACTATAATTTACTTGATCTGTTTCTTTTTTTTTAGGATTCCATTGATCAGTGGCGAACAGTTTTTGAAGTATCGGCAATTATTGCTATGTTGACTTATATGTTTTATCAGTGGTTCGGTACTGCAGAGATACAATCGTGGAATATCCAACGGCCAATCAGTAATCAGCTTCAAGAAGCAGAAAAAATGTTTTTCAAGGAGAATGGTGCAACACAGTTAACTACCAAGGCAAAATGAAAATTAATAATAATATGTGACCATAAAAGTTATATGTTCAGCCTTTATGTATAAAGTTTCCTTAGCATTTAGTTTTACTATAACTTCTACTTTTAATTTAGATTATGATTATAAAAAAATGGTTATTGCTTAAATCCGTAGTTACTGTAAAGTTTCTTAAATGGGGCTATAACACCAATCTTTTTGACGAGTGGAGTGAGTGCGCTGTCATAAATTTAATTTTGTAATATTCTAATCTATACATAAAACTGTTTGTAATGTTTGACTGATTGTTGATCAACGCATAGCCCAAACCGTAAGAGCTAGGAAGCTGAAATTTTCACTGTAGTTACCTTATGTGATGAAGGTGCATGTTAAGACAGGATTTCGGGAAATTGCACCCGCATTTGTGGAATAATCGCGTACAACTTATGAAACTTATTGTTTACCATCCGATCCGCCTCAAACTCGTTTACAAAGATCTTTGTCAAGATTCATCTGATGGGTGTTTGGCATTTTTGGAAAGTCCATCCCTCCTTGGTGGAAATGGGGGTTAAGGCTGTTAAATTTCGGGCTCAAATCATTTTCAAAGATTCAAAGATTTTTTGGGCGAAGTTTCAAATGTTGTCCTGTTGGGGAACTGCTTGTTTCTCGGTGGGCCGCGCCGGCTGGCTCATCGGTTTTTCTGGGTATAATTCCAACAACAACAAAGCTACATGTCTGTGGCAAAACAGACCTACACAAGACTATGCAAAACAAACCACAAACTCCAATAACACCACACAGTCGACTCTAACGTCTGAACAACATAAACAGCTGCGATGACAAGTAAATGTGAACAACATAGGTGAGACGCTTATATAAATAAACAACACTATTAAGCCACTTTAGTTTTCATCACCCCCAGGAAGCCCGTTCACCTCTCATCTTGGATGCACTCCTTGATGCCAGGCGGTAGCGACTGCCGATATGTCTAGTAGGCTTGTGCAATCGCCGCATTCAACGCCGACTTAATGACCGAATCGATGGATGTTTTTGGAAACTCTAGGTTCCCTAGATGCCCCTTCGTCGGGATGGTTCTCTCTGGGACTCCTCGATGGTTCATTGGCGCTCCCCTAGATCTCCTGCAGGTAGCGGCGGTGGCGATGTGGACGCTTCATCAGCGTCTGAAACCCAATTGGCTCCCTGATCCTCAGCCATGAATGACCCCTAACCACAAGACACTAACCTTATTCTTAATAACACCTATACACACTAACAGTGACTAAATAACTACACCACAATCCAAGGCAAATTTTGCTCATATTGCAATATAAGTAAATAAATAAGCAAATAAATATCGACAAAACAACTCACAATGATTTTTATGTTTTTCTAAAAAAATTTCAAATACTTGGGGGGGAGAGAAGACAAATCCTAACACAGGTTAACTTGTCTACGCGTAATCTGGACAATGGACAACATTCAAGCATTCGTCAAATGCACAGTTCGTCAGTTTGACTGACAAACGGCGTTCAAGGAGAGCAACCTTGAAGGCTATTTGGTTTTTGTTGCACTTCTGGGCACTTTTAGGGTATGCTGTGTGACAGGTGCGGCGCAGGATCGAAAGAATATCGTCCTGGGTCACCTGGCTCGGAAGCTCATATACCTACGGCCTGCATACACCAAACGTATACCCAGAGTGGGACAAAACAAATAGTAAACAATAAACCAATAAAACCTACCCTTATATCACAGTTTATCCCAGGTTGTTTTGTCATAGCGGCTACCACCAGGCGAATAATGAACAGTCGCAAACGCTTCGCCAGCATGCGAACGTGACGTATTGCCATCAACCGCGACGAGAAAACTCCCTGCTAATGGACACTATGGCAAGATCCGTCTCTGACTAAATAACAACTGACAAATTACCCTAATACCACATTTTATTACGAGATGCCTTTGTCATTGCGGCTACCACCAGGCAAATGATGAACGGTCGCGAACGTTTTGTCAACATGCGAACGTGACTTACCGCCATCAACCACTACAAGAAAAACATCTCATGCTTATGGATATTCTGATAATCTTCACTTACGTCTTGCTCGGATTCCATGACCCACTGGGCCACCAACTTGTGTCACATAAGACTTCAGCGGTGTGGATCTGAAAGCCAAGGGAGTAATTTTCTCCGTACCTTCATTGGTATCTTATCATTATTTTTTTTACACGCGAACATTTCTTCATCAGATGCGTATAATTATAACATATTATGGAACTAAATTTCTAAAATTTTCATTTAAAACAGACCAACAACAACGAGAAGGCATCACTGAAAGTTATGGCCATTTGCCACCGGGAACACGTTGGAGGGTGACTTTATAATTATTAAATTGAGTAATTGGCTCCCCACCCGTTCGCGCCCGTATATATATAGATATGTATACCCACACTGGAAAACAAATGGTATGTGTGCAAGTGTGTTTATGTATATGTCGGGTTGTCATTATGGATTCCTTGCGGGCTGCTACTCATTTTTAATTATTATTTATTAATTGTCTATGGCGAAGAATATTACACGCACAACAATTATCTCCTGCGTAACTCTTTCTTCAAACCTTAGTCTAACATTATTTTGGCACGTACGCCACTTAGGACCTTACGCAACATTTCTCTATACCTGCATCGAACTAAGCTGACCATCTGGCGAATAAAGGGACATAGCGCAGTCACCAATAGTCACAAAAGTGTTCTACTACAGTGTCGTCCACAATATAGACCCGACATATATAAGAAAGTAAATCAGTAGGAATGAGATAGCTTAAATTGCGCTTAGGGCGATAGAAATTAATAAAAATTAAAAATTGTACTTGTTCTATTTATATATATATATATATATACATAAATATATGTTGTATGGCCGGTATGGAATTTCAAACACCTTTTATTTTCTCCTTTTTCCCCTTTTTATACCCTGAACCCATTAAAAATGGGTATAAGGGTATATTGTATTTGTGCAAAATCCAAATGTATGTAACAGGCAGAAGGAAGATTCTCCGACCCCATAAAGTATATATATTAGTGATAAGCATCAATAGCAGAGTCGATCTAGCCATGTCCGTCTGTCTGTCTGTCCGTCCGTCCGTATGTATGAACGCAAGGATCTCAGAACCTATAAGAGCTAAAAACTTTGTAGATTTGTAGATGTAGGTGCTCCTAGGGCCTGCGAAGATCGAGTTTGTTTTCGATAATCGATAACTTACTCCGTTTCCAAGCAATCGATAAAAATCGGTATCGATATCCTGTTTTTTGGGCGATTTTGGTAAATAATAAGAGCTAGAGTCACCAAACTTGACATATAGCTTCTTAAAAGGAATATATATATGCATTTGTTGTTGGAAGAAGAGGGTTCAGGGTATCCCCTAGTCGGGAGCTCCCGACTAGAACCTCTTACTCATTTGCTCATTTCCGAGTCGCATTTCACCTCAAGGTCGTATAGCCAACGGAAGAGCTCGAGATTGAGCGGCAATGCTTATCATTTTTATAAGAAAACCTTAAAATAATTAAGCTCGCATATATACAGGAGGTAAATAACAGTACTTTCTTGGGTGACCTGATAATTGCTGCTGCCTACCGTCCACCGAAACACAAAGCCAGAGATGACGCGCTTGTCTACTCGGGTCCACTCCACAATAAATTTGTAGACCCCCGTCGCGATGCAGAAAGGGGGTTGGGAACATTTGGGATCTCTCCGCCACAGAGTAATTAGCTTTATGGCGCCGCGGCTTAGGTTGGTTAAGAGAACTGAAAATAAATAGTCTCGATTCGGCATCGAGCACCAAATGGCTGGCAAAATGAATATGAAAACGCATTGTATCACTGATTTTCTGCCCCTATTTATTGCGTATAATTCTGTGGCCCTGGTGCACCATCAATTCTTGATTCAAACTCACCCTAACCTCGCAGCCGTCCTTAACTTGTATAATTCCCATTTCTTTTCTAATCTTTCCGTCCGCACGTCCGATACTCACGCTTGTCGTATCCAAAAATAAGTTGATGATCAGTCTGATTTTCTTACGACCCTCTCTATCTCTTTTCGCCGTACTGCGAAAGCCTACTCGCTCCTCCTGTAATTATTTTAGGAGTCAGAGTTTCTTATTAGACCTAAGCAATAATCGTTTTCCTATACTCATTTCCTTAACTTAAGCATAATAACATTAATAAAATTCCTTTAAAAATTGCATGTCTTATTTTTACTATTCATATTTTAGATTATATATTTATTTTTATTGCCATTAAGACCCGGCGCTAAAACCTTCCCCTTTAAACTTCCGGCTAGTCAACTGCACTTCGTTGTCGCATACGAAATTCCGCGGGACTCCAAATCGATAGAGTATTCGCTTTTCGAACGCCCTCTGTAAATGTTTCGCTGTCTCCCTTCTCAAGGGAACCAATTCCACACACATACTGAACGCGTTGTAGAATACCAACAGCATTGTATGCCTGTGGTTCGAGCATGGTAAGGGGCCTACGCCGTCGGCCCAAGGTTCCGTCACCTGGCGCGTCAGCATCCGTCCTGCCAGTCTCGCCTGTTCCATCTTGAATGTTTGACAGACCTCGCAGCATCTTACATGCAGTGCGGCTTCCCGGAATATCCCTGGTCAATAGTACCTTTGCGCTAGTCGAGATATCGTCTTCCTCACTCCTTGATGGGCAACACAGAATTTCCACGAGAGGTAGTGCTCGTTGTCGGCTTGTAAGTGACGACAGACTTGGCCGTTCTCAACTGCGTAATACAGATACTTCTCTGGCTCTTCAGTAACCTTTTCTCGCATGCATCTGGTCTATCCGCAGGGAGGCTTCTCGTCCACGTACTTCCCTCGCGTTCAGCTTCCCTCGCCGGTACAGCACGTCAACCTGGAACTGCTGCAACTCTAGGGCCCATGAAGCGAACTTTCCAGATGGACTCTCTATCGAGTTAAGCCATTTAAGTGCCATGTGACATCTAACCTCCTTTAATAGTTGTTCTCCGTCTTCAATAGTTTCCTACTGGCGCACGCGATAACCCGCTCCTCTTCGTCGATAGTCTGCGTGATGACGACACCAAGGCCATTATCGGTCGCGTCTGTCTGAAGCACAAATTTCTTTCTGAAATCAGGGCAGGCGATCATGCCTTCCCCTTCTTCAAGAGAGCGGTCATCGGGTGCATACTGACGCGAAATTGGACACGCAGCGTCGATACCACGAGGCCATTCCCAGGCACTGCCGCAGCTAATTACAATTCGATGGAGCCGTCAGCCTCTGGATCACAAGCACCTTTGTGCAGGGTTCCCTTCGTCGCTCACCACATGTTCTAAGTACACCAGCTTCGTTTGGAAGAATCGACTTATTAAAGATCGGGTAGGACCGATGTCGATCGTCGCCGCATATTCGTTTTCATGATTTTGATCGTCGCGACAGCACGACCCTTCTCGACCCGCAATATGTATACTGGTTCCGGGCTTCGTTGGCACCCACCTGCACCCGACACGGGTGGCGCCTGAACCGGTCGCCACATTGCAGGATTGAGACATTCTCATCTAAAATGACCCTCTAGCCCACATCGATCGGGCGCCGCCTTCTCGATACTCCTTCTTGGCGGATCATCGTGTTGGCGGTCTGTTCTCGAGGCATTGGCAACGATCCAGTGATTGGCCAACCGGGAGTCGCTCCAAAAACTGTCGCAGAGTTGCTCTGTACCGGCTGTTCAGCACGCTTGTCGATGGTGCCTGCCCGAGATCACGAACCTGGCGGGTACTGTTGGCCCTGTTTGCCTTTACCCACACTCGACGACTATCTGTATGAGCTGGGGCAAAGACGAAAACTCTTGTATCCGCACATACAGTTTATATTCTGGGGCTGCGTTCTCGTAGATCCTACTCAATTCCCTCTCAGATCCTACTCAATTCCCAGCATGGTGCATTAATGCCCGCAGGTCACAACATATTGTTTAAATCTTTCACCATCTCCATCCCGATCCCAATTTCTAGCCGTTCGAAAAACCGCGGAGGCAAGAAAAATTCTAGAAACCCCTCCTTAAACCCTCCTCCATGACCTCCTCCATGACCAAGACCTAATTCATTGCCCTTGGCAAATTATCTACTGCGATGTCGTGTGATATGGCTCAATCCTCAATGGTTTACACGAAGGACAGCCGATCAGCTTGCCCATCAAATCGTATATCCCACTTTCTACCTTGCTCGGGTACGATGAAGTGTCCCCTCATTCCCGTCGGTGGGCGGGCTGACGTTTACGTGCCGCCCTCGGCAGAACGAGAAGTTCCCGTCTCGTTCATTTTATCGTCCGCATAGCGGGCTTTATAGCTCAGGATCGCTGGAAC